ACAAATAATCCAATCAAGAAATGGGCAGAAGACACAGACATTTCTCCGAAGAAGACATACAAATGGCTAACAGACACATGAAAAAAATGCCCCATATCACTCAGCATCAGGGAAATACAAATCAAGACCACAATGAGATACCACCTCACACCAGTCAGAATGGCTAAAATTAACAAGTCAGGAAACAACAGATGTTGGCGAGGATGTGGAGAAAGGGGAACCTTCCTACACTGTTGGTGGGAATGCTAGCTGGTGCAGCCACTCTGGAAAACAGAATGGAGGTTCCTCAAAAAGTTGAAAACAGAGCTACCCTATGACCCAGCAATTGCACTACTGGGTATTTGCCCCAAAGATACAAATGTAGTGATCCAAAATGGAATATTATGCAGCCATCAAATAGAATGGACTCTTGCCATTTGCAATGACATGGATGGAACCATAGGGTATTATGCTAGGCAAAATATGTCAGTCAGGGAAAGACAATTATCATATGATCTCACTGGTATGTGGACTTTAAGAAACAAAACAGAGGATCATAGGGGAAGACACGAAAAAATTAAAGAAGACGAAACCAGAGAGGGAGACAAATCATAGGAGACTCTTAAGTATAGGAAACAAACTGAGGGTTGCTGGAGGGCAGGGGGTGCAGAGATGGAGCAACTGGGTAATGGACATTAAGGAGGGCATGTGATCTAATGAGCATTGGGTATTATATAAGACTGATGAGTCACAGGCCTGTACCTCTGAAACCAATAATATATTATATGTTGGGCGCCTGGGTGGCTCAGTTGTTAAGCAACTGCCTTCGGCTCAGGTCATGGTCCCAGGGTCCTGGGATCGAATCCCATATTGGGCTCTCTGCTCTGCAGGAAGCCTGCTTCTCCCTCTCCCACTCCCCCTTGCTTGTGTTCCCTCTCTCACTGTGTCTCTCTCTGTCAAATAAATAAAATCTTTAAAAAAAAATAATATATTATATGTTAAATAATTGAATTTAAATAAAAAATGTTTTAAAAATGGGCAAAAGACACGAATAGACATTTTTCAAAGAAGATATACAGATGCATGATATTATTTAAATCTCACAACAACAATGCTCTAAATGGCATAGGTGCTAAGGAAGTATCTGTGGTATGAATGAAGCAAGGTGCCATGTGAGGCAACCTTGGTTGAGAAAGATTAGGTAAATTGCCGCAGATCTCCTAGTTAGTAAGTGGCAGAATTCAAACTTTATAAGACAAAAATACCACTTTTGGCTTCAGTTCTAACCTGAAATTACAGATAAAGACATCAGGTTCTATTTCGAGAAAGAAGTTAGATTCTTAATACTACTTTTTGAGTCATATTGAAATTTGAATCTGTTAATTTGGTTGTGTTGTTTTAGTTTCAAGCAGCCTTGACACCCAATTTTCCATTATTTCCTAAACAAGTGACGTAGGAAGATTTGATTTAACCTCTCTGAAAGCAAGGTTTTAGAAGACTATAAAATGAAGATGACAGAATGAAGGTGGAGCCAGAATTGGAAGTCAAGGCTACGTTACTCTCCTGGTTTTTAAATAATGATAACTGATACAAAATATTAAGAAAACACTGTGCAGGCCAAATAAAATACATCTGCAGGTGACATTTGGCCTGTTAGTCACAAGCTTTGCCTTCTGTATTTGTTGAGAGAAGGCAGAGAGTTACGACACTATGGCGGTTAAAGCATGGACTGTGGAACCATACTGCCTGGGTTGCCATCCAAGCTCGGCCATTTATTAGCTGTATGACCCTAGGCAAACGTCTTCATCTGTCTGTGCCTCAGTTTTCTTGTCTTTAAAATGGGAATGTACCTTATAAGGTTGTTATGAGAATTGAGTGTGAGTGTGTGTGTGTGTGTGTGCGCGTGAGCGCCATTTAAAACAGTGCCTGGCATATAACAAGTGCCCTGAAAATATGTTAAATAAAACAAAATAAAAAAGCTCTAAGCTTCCTTTAACTATTTTCACTAATTCTAACTTGAACTTTGCCTCAGTTTGCACATCTGTAAAATGGGGACACTAAGGGTACCTACTTTGTATGGTTATTTTCAGGATAAAGTGATTTAATATAGAGAGAATTAAGATATCTACAGTACTTAGAACATTGCCTAGAACAGATTAAGCACTATGTAAGTGTCAGCCATTATTATTATTAATTTTTAAAATGAATGCTTGGCTAAGCTCATGTAAGTCAGTACTGCAAAACTTTAACATAGGCTTAGCAGTGTTTACAAGATGGTATTGATCCTAAGAAGCAAAGCCCATAGTATAATAATGGAGCTGAACTTTTAACCCTTCAGTCAATCACTGAAAAAAGCGAAATGGTGAAGTCTGAAAATAGTAAAATTTCCCAATCATTGCATAGCCCACTTAATACTCATCAATAAAGCTGAGGTTTATTGTTGAGGTAAAGGTTGAAATAAAGTTTGAGATAAAAAGAAAAGCAGCTTGTATTTGCATCTATAAAGGCAACTAATTGAATTTATTTTTTAAAAATCTCAGTACATTTTCCATAATAAATCTAAGAAGGAGAGGTAGAAAATTCAAACTCTCATGCATAGTTTATTAGAAGAAATTTCTATATGGGGAAACAGAGTTATCTCCTGGCTCCCTACTTAATCTCCATCTACCTGGAGTAAACTATTGCTTTGTCAAATATGTAAGAGAAGGAAGTTGTAAGAAGGGTCAGGTCCTGGGTTGGATAAAACAGCACCCTAACCATAATTTTTAAGATGTTAAGAACCCAGTATAAAGACATAAAGTTATTGTGGAAGGACCTGACAGTGCATGGGTGACCAAAGGGCCAAATAAGAGTCCTAGTGTGAGGAGACTGGAATATGCTGGAACCTCATACTGAATGAATGGGGATCATTGCAGGACACAAGTTTAAAGGTGCTAGAAGTGGGATTTCTCATACTGAAGTGACAATAACTATTAGTGAATCTCATTTGAGAAGAGATGGAAATTCTTCAATGAGAGAGGACAGAGGCAAGGGGAGATCTCACTGTGAGAAAAACAGAAGGTCTGTTGTGAGGAGACAGGATATAATATAAAAACTCCATTGTGAATTTGTAAGAACACTATAAAACCATTAGTGATAAGGACAGGTGACTGGGGTAATACAATTGGGGAACATACAGGATAGGATGTTGGGGTTTGTTTCAGGAAATACTGTGGAATTCTGAGTTTGAAAGCATAAGATAGGCTGTGGGAACCATTTTATACATAAGAAGGGGATGGAATGCTCCATAATGTGACAGGACAGGGTACAAGAGGAGACTCTAGATTTATAAAAGGGATGATCTAATGAAATGGGACAAGAAATGAGGCTTCCATGGGACTGGGAAGGAAGTATTAGAAATCCCAGTGGAAAAGTATAGTGTTTTCCTAGTTTGAGAAGACGGGGGAAAAGGACAACCCTAAAGGGAATTGAGATAAAAAAACAAAAAACAAAAAACAAAAAAAACAAAAAAAACTTAGAGAAAGAGGATGGCAAAATGTGGGGCTAACAATAAAAGAGAGCTGCAGGAGGTGGGGATTAGTTTTCAAAACAGATAACAAGGGGGGAGTATCATTAGAAAAGTAGTAATGGTAACTGAAAAGAAAAGTAGTGGCCCTCGGGAGGGGTGTGAGATATTGTGGAAACTCTTGTGGGAAGGTAAAGAGGACACCAATGTGAGAAGAGAGCGGACAAGGCATGACCATATTGTGATAAAAGCAGGATGCCTAGTATGAAGTGTGAGAAAATAATGTGGGGAGCAGAAGAAGAAAGGGAACCCCAGTGTGATAAAATCAGGGGCTCTAATGTGAGGGGACAGGACGAGATGTATTGTAGGACCCTCATTCCACTGGAGAAGATGACAAAATGGTAAAGCCCACAGGGAAAGAGAATAAAGGGCCCATTTTCACTTTGTGAAAAGGGGAGACCCAGTGGGATAAAACAAGGCATACTGTGGGGTCCTCTGTGGGAGAAGCTGTGAAGCACTTATGCCAGTGTGAGAGGATCATGGAAAAAGGATGAATTCCAGTGTTGGAAAAAAGAGAGCTAGTAACAGAGTACAGGAAATATTTTGGGATTCCTTAGTGGGAGGGAATGCGAAAACGTGCGGCTCCTAGTTGGATGCATTGGTGGGATTCAGAGTGTAAGCAGTTTAACGATACAGGGTGTGTTGTTTTCTCAATTGCGTAGGGTGGGAGCCCCCAGAACGAGAACACCAGGCACAAGTGGTTGTCCTGTATGAGAAAAGAGGGCTCTAGTGGAAAGTCTCAGGAGATTCTTGTGGGTAAGGCCAGGGAATAATGTAAAAAGCCCTCGGTGGGAAGCGATGGCGACACGGTGGGACCCTCGTGGGAAGACTGTGAAGAAATACTGTGAGAAGCCAGAGGTTGGAGATGAGGAGGTCTCCAGAGAGCTAAGAACAAACAAACAACCCCCTCCCCTCAAAGAAAAAAAAACACAAAAACAAAAAACCCTGCCGTGTGAGGGCTAAGAACACGCGGGAGGGGGACACCAGGGTGAAGGGTACGACAGACAATTATCCTGGAGCATAATTTCCCCACCGTAGGTGCCCAGCTCCACTTACCCAGGCAGAGTTCAAAGACGTAGGCATAGTAGGACCAAAGCACAACGAGGACGATAACGAGCACTGGCACCCAGGAAAGTACTCGGCGACAGCACCGCAGCCCCCCGGACAGAGCCATCTTCCAGCCCCGCCGCATCTTTGGATCGAAGATCGACCGAGCAGGCCTGTCGGCGCTGGGTCGGAACGGCCCGGCAGGCAGTTGGGAGGCTGGAAGGAGCGCTGTGCGGCGCTCCACTGCCTAGCCTGGCGGGAACGTCTCACCAAACCGACACCACCTGTAAGGCTGCGGGGCAGAGTGCGCCCTGCCTGGCACAATAGGCATGAGTCATGGCGAGGAGGAACTGGCCTTGTTGGAGCGGAAGGTGATCCGCCGGGCAGTCGAGGCTGGGCACGCTCAGAGGGAATGCGGTCCCTCCCCTTTTCTCCTCTTCCACCCCCTTGCTACAGCGCTAGATGCAGAGCTGGACCTCCGCAAAACGGTGAAGCGGAAGAAATTTGGGTCCGCCCATCTGTCTTTACTGCACTGCGTCCCCCCTCATCTGCTTTCTGATCTCTCTTTCGGATTTTTGTCTCTCTTTGTTTCCCCCCTCAACACAAACGCGGGAGCACACGTACACGCTGTGCGAAAGACGCCAGCCATAGCCTCTTAAGACTGAAAGGTTATCCAACCCCATCCTCCCACTGCTGCTTGAACAATGTGCTTAACGCGTAGTGCCGCAATCACTGCATAGGTAAGTCCATTCACAGGACGCTCCCCGCTTCCTTCTCTTCTTCCCTTACCCCTGAGTTTCGCTTCGTCCGTTTTCAGAATAAATAAACCTATTGGTACAGAAAAACAAACGAAGGGGACGTTAAATCTGTGAGGGGTCAGGGAAAGATGCAAAGGTAGTAATATTTAAACTGAGCTTCAATGATAAATGTTTGCTAGGCAGACGAGAGGGGAAGGATCTTTCAGACAGAGGAAACAGCGTTTGCAAAGACATAGTCATAAAAATCCAAAAGTGTTCAAGGAACACCTAATATGGCTTGAGCGGGTGTGTGAAGAGGAGAGGCTGGGACTGAGACGGGGAATATAGGCTGAGGGAACAGTGTGACGGTCCTTTTACGCCTTGCCAGGGTGTGTGGACATAATCCTCTAAAGCAGATTACTATGAACAGCCATTAAAGGTTTGGGACAATGGAATGACATTAGCAGAGATGTATTTTTGTGACTGGCAGGATTTCGGAGAGGAGGATGGCTTGGAAGCAGACCAATTAGGAAGCAATTTAATTCAACAAATGTTTCTGGGATGGTTGCTTTGTGTAGGTCAGCTTTGGCATAAAAAGAATGAAGAAACAGGAGGCCTGTCCCCATGAAGCTCATCTTCTCGTCAGGGGGATAGGTGTTCAATGACACAAGCACAATAATGGAAGTATAGTAAGATTTTGACACTTATGGATTTGAAACTCACTGTTTAATGATTTTTAAAGGTCTATGACGTGGAGAAATTTGTGATTTTGCTGAGACCCATGTCTTACTCACATTCTGTATTGAGTGAATTGAAACAAGGATTTCAACAGGGTTGTGCTCTATTCTTCGTGGTTATATAGGCAGTAATTTCCTGAAGTGATAAGAGCTTTCTTGTTTCTTTTCAGATTAAGTTCATGGTTGATATTACTAAATTAATGATGTAGTGAAATACTGTCTCATTTCAGTTGCAGTTTTTATTTTAATAGCCCAATTAATTATTTGAGTCCTAAGGTTCAGACATAGATATTTAAATATTTTTCCAGCGTTATTGAGGTATAGTTGACAAATAAAAATTGTATATATTTAAGGTGTATAATGTGATCATTTGGTAGGTATATACATTGTGAAATGACTATGACAATCAAGCTAATTAATGCATTTGTTATCTCACAGTTACCATTTTTTGATAAATATTTTTTATTGAGATATATTTTACATACAACATTGTGTAAATTTAAGGTGTATATTTTTCAAAGTTTTTATTTACATTCCAGTTACTTAACATATAGTGTAATATTAGTTTCAGGTGTACAATATAGTGATTCAACACCTCCATACAACAGTAGGTGCTCATCACAACAAGTACACGCCTTAATCCCCATCACCTCTTTAACCAGTCTACCCACCCAACTCCATTTTGGTAACCATCAGTTTGTTCTCTATAGTTAAGAGTCTATTTTGTAGTTTGCCCCCCTGTCTCTCTCTCTCTCTCTCTTTTTTTCCTTTGCTCATCTGTTTTGTTTCTTAAATTCCACTTATGAGTGAAACCATAGGGTATTTGACATTTTCTGATGGACTTATTTCCCTTTGCATGATATTCTAGCTCCATCCATGTCGTTGCAAATGGCAAGATTTCATTCTTTTTTATAGCTGAATAATACTCCGTTATATATATTTATCCTCCACATCTTCTTTGCCCATTCATCAGTCGATGGACACTTGGGCTGTTTCCATAATTTAGCTATTATTAATGATGCTGCTAAAAACATTGGGGTGCATGTCTCCCTTTCACTTAGTATTGTTGTATTCTTTGGGTAAACACCTAGTAGTGCAACTGCTGGATCTGAGGGTAGTTCTATTTTTAACTTTTTGAGAAACCTCCCTACTGTTTTCCAGAGTGACTGCACCAGTTTGCATTCCCACCAATAGCACAAAACCACCCCTTTTGGTGTTGACCTGTTCTTGTGCTGTTGATTTTAGCCATTCTGACAGGTGTGAGGTGATAGCTCATTGTATTTTTGATTTGCATTTCCCTTATAATCAGTGATACTGAACATCTTTTCATGTGTTTGTTGGCCATCTGGATGTCTTCTTTGGAAAAATGTCTACTTATGTCTTCTGCCCATTTTTAATTGGATTATTCATTTTTGGGGTTTTACATAAGCTCTTTATATATTTGGGATACTAACCCTTTATCACATATGCCATCACAAATATCTTCTCCCATTCCATAGGTTGCCTTTTAGTTTTGTTGATTGTTTCCTTTGCTGAGCAGAAACTTTTTATTTTGATAAAGTCCCAATAGTTTATTTTTGCTTTTGTTTCCTTTCCCTCAGGAGATATATCTAGAAAGAAGTTGTCACAGCCAATGTTAAAGAAGTTACTGCCTGTGTTCTCCCGTAGGGTTTTTATGGTCTAAGATCTTACATTTAGATCTTTAATACATTTTGAATTTATTTTTCTGTATGGTGTAAGAAAGTGCGGTCCCGTTTCATTCTTCAGCGTGTTGCTGTCCAGCTTTCCCAACACCCTTTGTTAAAGAGACTGTATTTTATCCAATGGATATTCTTTCCTGCTTTGTCGAAAATTAGCTGACTATATAGTTGTGGGTTCATTTCTAGGTTTTCTATTCTGTTCTATTGTTTTATGTGTATGCTTTTGTACCAGTACAATACTGTTTTGATTAGTACAGCTTTGTAATGTAACTTGAAGTTTGGAATTGTGATGCCTCCAGCTTTGCTTTTCTTTTTCAAGGTTGCTTTGGTTGCTCTGGCTATTCGGGGTCTTTTCTGGTTCCATACAAATTTTGGGATGGTTTGTTCTAGCTCTGTGAAAAATGCTAGTGGTATTTTGATAGGGATTGCATTAAATATGTAGATTGCTTTGGGTAGTATAGACATTTTAACATATTTGTTCTTCTGATCCATGAGCATGGAATATCTTTCCATTTCTTTGTGGCATCTTCAATTTCTTTCATCAGTGTTTTCTAGTTTTCAGAGTACGGAACTCTTATAATAGTTTGTATTTCTGTGGTGTTGGTTGTTCTTTCTCCTCTCACTTGTGATTTCACCTCTTTGGTTAGGTTTAATCCTAGGTATCTTATTGTTTTTGGTGCAATTGTAAATGGATTGATTCCTTATTTTCTTTCTCTGTAAAGTGATACATATAGAAATACTCTCAATAATCTTCATTATTGCTATAGAGAAATGCAACAGATTTCTGTACATTGATTTTGTACCCTGTGACTTTACTGAAGTCGTGTATCAGTTCTACCAGTTTATTGTTGGAGTGTTTTGGGTTTTCAATATAGAATATCATATCATCTGCAAATAGTGAAAGATTGACTTCTTCCTTGCTGATTTGGATGCCTTTTATTGCTTTTTGTTGTCTAATTGCTATGGCTAGGACTTTCAGTATTGTTAAATAACAGTGGTGAGAGTGGACATCCCTGTCTTCCTCCTGACTGTAGAGGAAAAGCTCTCAGTCTTTCTCCATCGAGTATGATATTAGCTGTGGGTTTTCCATAGATGGCCTTTAGTAAACCTACTTTGTTGTTTTTATCATGAATGGATGTTGTACTTTGTCAAATGTTTTTGATGCATCCATTGAAATAATCATATGGTTACTGTCCTTTCTTTTATTAATGTGGTATATCACGTTGATTGATTTGCAAATATTGAACCGCCCTTGTATCCCAGGAATAAATCTCACTTGATCGTGGTGAATGATTTTTTTTTTAAATGTATTGTTGGATTTGGTTTGCTAGTATTTTACTGACAATTTTTGCATCCATGTTCATAAGGGATATTGGCCAGTAGTTCTCTTTTTTAGTGGTGTCTCCATTGGTTTTGTTATCAGGGTTTTGCTGGCCTCATAAATGAAATCGGAAGTTTTCCTTTTCTATTTTTTTGGAACAGTTTGAGAAGAATAGTTATTAACTCTTCTTTAAATGTTTGGTAGAATTTGCCTGTGAAGCCGTCTGGTCTTGGCCTTTTGTTTGTAGGGATTTTTGTGATTACTGATTCAATTTCTTTGCTGGTTATCAGTCTGTTCAAGTTTTCTATATCTTCCTGTTTTAGTTTTGTAGTTTATGTTTCTAGGAATTTACCAGTTTCTTCCAACTTTTCCAATTTGTTGGCATATGGATTTTGATAATATTCTCTTATAATAGTTTGTATTTCTGTGGTGTTGGTTGTTCTTTCTCCTCTCACTTGTGATTTTATTCGCTTGGGCCCTGTCTCTTTTCTTTTTGATAAATCTGGCTAGAGGTTTATCAGTTTTATTAATCTTTTCAAAGAATCAGCTCCTGACTTCATTGATCTGTTCTATTGCTTTTGTTTTTGTTTAGTTTCTATATCATTTATTTCTGCTCTAAGCTTTATTATTTCCTTCCACTGGCTTTAAGCTTTGTTTTTTGTACTTTTTATAGCTCCTTTAGGTAAAAGGTTAGATTGTTTATTTGAGATTTTCCTTGCTTCTTGAATTAGGCCTGTATTGCTATATACTCCCCTCTGGAGATTGCTTTTGCTGCATCCCAAAGGTTTGGACTGCTGTGCTTTTATTTTCATTTGTTTCCATGTATTTTTTTGTTGTTGTTGTTTCTTCTTTATTTCCTGGTTGACCCATTCATTCTTTAGTAGCATGTCATTTAACCTCCATGTATTTGTGGTTCTTTCCACATTTTTTCTTGTGTTTGACTTCTAGTTTCATAGTGTTGTGGTCAGATAAGGTGCATGTATGACTTCAATCTTCTTGTATTTGTTGAGGCCTGATTTGTGACCTAATATGTAATCTATTTTGTTCCATGTGCACTTGAAAGAATGTGTATTCTCCCATTTTAGTCTGGAGTGTTCTGAATATATATGTTAAGTCCATCGGGTCCAGGGTGTCATTGAAAGCCATTATTCGGGTGCCTGGGTGGCTCAGTCGTTAAGCGGCTGCCTTCGGCTCAGGTCATGATCCCAGGGTCCTGGGATCGAGCCCCACATCAGGCTCCCTGCT